TTTTTTTTTTACTTTTAGTTCAAGGGGTACAAATAGTTTCTCAAAGGATTGCATAAACAAGTTTGCAGCAATGACTTTACCGGGAAGCGTCCCTCCCTCCGATAAAGTCATCCTCAGAAACACCTTTTGTCTCGTGTTCTTCTCACTCGCTGCATTTATTTATGTCTGACTCTCTCCAGACCCTTCCATTTTATCCGAAACGTTGGAGGTGCTTCCAAAACGGCCACGTGAGTCAGAAGGTGACGGCTTTCTGGAGTCTGGCCGCCTCCAGTGAGAGGCCGGGTAAATTTAGCCTGTGGCTGGAGCTTATCTGAGGCTGCAGCAGCGACACTCCCCAGGCCCGGGCAGGCCCACTGCGGGGCTGAGTCACTCCGGGGAGGGAGGGAGGGATCTGCAGTCGGGACAAGTCAGGTGGAACGGGCGCGGTCTGAATTTTACAGGGGGTGGATTTGCATAAAGTGATTGATTATTTGGGGCCAACAAAAATGCTCTTTTTGTTTGACCTGAACTTTAGGAAAAAGAGGAGGATTGTGTTTAACTTACTTAAATATTTACTTTGGATTTAAAATAAGTAGATAGCCCAGTTCTATAACTTGAGAAGGTAGAAATATATATAGATATTGCAATTTAAAAAAAACAACTCCTCAAATCGTTTAGCTTCTGTAAACGTTTCTGTAAAAAAAACCTAAAATACTCTCATTAAGCATATTTTAATCCCAAAAAAATATTAACAGATTAGCGCTATTCTGTGTTGATGTTCGGTTGAGCATGTTAGCATTTATTTTAAAATGTTTATTACTCTATTTTAAAAATAAAATTATACTTGTATATAAGTGGATTTCAAAGGTTTTTATTATTATTGTTATTTCTACTATCCGAAGAGAATAAATTAATATGGTGAAATAAAAAAAAGCTCAAAAAAGCCCGTCAGAATGTGTACATTTTTCATCGTTAGTTGTCGCCCAGGTTTCAGGTTTACGTCAAATTAAGACACAGAACTTCTCCAGTTTGTTTCTCACCTCACAAATATCATGACGCGTGTGGAAAGAGCCGCCTCTCTCGCTTTTTATTTTTTTGATGCAAGTGTTTGACATGGTGGAATCAAGAGGTCATCTCCAGCAGGTTGCTGTGATTAAACTTAAGCTGCCGGCTAATAAGGAGCGATGATGTTTCTGAGGAAGCACCGGACGTCAGAGTTACACGACAGAGCGAGATGTGTGCAGGGAGTGAGACTCGGCCGTGCCTACTTTGTATGTGCATGTTAAAGTGAAGATGAGGTGGGAGGAGATGGTGGGGGGGAGAGGCTTTATGATGACCCAGCATTTAACACGCTCTGCTGGGCCTGCGTGTGACCTCGTTCGTCAAGTTGACACCCGGTTCTGTTTCTGCCCAGTGATTCACCAGAACGGGGAAAAAAACAAAACAAAAAAACAGCGAGAAAGGAGGAACTTGAGGGTGACGCAGGGGTGCAGATGTGCAGTAAGAAAAAAAAAAAAAAGAAGAGAAAAAGCCACAAATGAGAAATGGGAAAAAGTAAACAAATGTGTGTGAAAGACAGGAGAGAGAGAGGACGAGCAAAACGGAGAGCGTGGGGCGAGATAGCGAGAGATAAACAGTGACAAAGCGGGGAGGACGAGAGGAGGACCAGAACCGCCTCACTTCACCGACGTCCAGTAAACACCAGCAAGCAGCAGCAGCAGCAGCAACAGACATCCATTCTGCTGAGCACCAGTGTTTGGAAAAACTGTGACATGATTCAGCTATATTTAAAATGCAGCTTGTCTTTTGGTGTAGTCATCCTGCAGCACGTCCTCCTAACACACGGCATGGTTTCCATCAAAACCACTGTTGCATTTTTTTTTCTCCCTCAAGTTAGTAGAGAACATGTCTTCTTCCAAACACAAACGCACCGAACCATGTCAACACCAAAGCACTTTGAGTATTTGAGGCGCGGCGTCACTTTTACATGTTACCTTGCATGACACTCGTCATGAGGGTCAATTTTCAAACCCCTCGATCTATTTCTCACTTTTGTCACGCTTTGCCGCAAGGTTCCATGCATTTCATTTTTTCATTTCAAAATAGTGCACTGCGACGTTTCGGAATGGAGAATGTTATGGACGTAACAATTTTGAACGATAAAAAATCTAAAAAAAGAAGGCACAGTACTCGGAGCAGTGGTCCTGGGTTCGATTCCTGTCTTTTCCCATTTCCTCTCCATTTACTGTTCAATCACTGCAAAAACACAACATCTTACCAAGTATTTTTTGGGGGGGAGGGTTGAGTTTGTAATGCACGTATCGTAGCTCACTAAAAATAAGACAAAACTAACTTACAAGTAACTTCACAGCACGATATAAGAGCTTGTTTAAAGTCAATAATTCCTTTATGTTTTTGAAAAACCACTTGTTCCACTGGCAGATTGTTTCACCTGCAACATTTTTCCCATGTCATCAGAGAATACAAATGCACACCACACATTTGAGATTTTCATTCAGAAAACACACAATTTCCCATCCACCACTAACTTTGTGTTGCTCCGTCAACTAAATACTTTGACAAAATATTTTTAAAAATCAATAAAACTGGCAGGGTATGAATACTCTCGCAAGATGCTGTAGCAGAGCTGCCTTCATTAGCTGGACACCCTCAAAGAGAAATGCCTAGAAATCCCACTAAGTCCTCTTTTGTTTACTTAAATCTTGCTCAGCTCTTGCGTGCAGTGATGTCTTCTGATCCCAAAGCCAGCATAGTCAAATATCACTAATTTACATTCATATTCAGCCTCCTTTTTTTGCATGATGAAATATAATCCAAAGGCAATTACTGCTTCCTGGGTTGAAGAACGTGGGAAGAACGTGGGAAGTACAGTGATCCTCCCAGACACTCTCCTGCTCCCGACTGGTTATGGGGTATTTGGGATTTTCTCGTTTTCAGCCTTCCCACACTTTCAACGGCTAAAGGCTTTCAATGTTTCCTTGGAAAGCCTCATGCTGTAGTCTGATTAAATCATTTCTGGGGTGCATGTCCAGACATGTTCCTTCCCATGTATCCCCACCTTGAGAGAAAAAAATGACAAGAAATTGACACCTTAAAAACTCGATGGTTAAAGTGAAAATAAAAATTATGGTCTCAAACAACCTTGTGAACTCAAGCTCCCACTGAGGGCTAAAGGGCAACATGTCTGTGCAACAAGTGGAACATTCTTAAGAGTAAATTAGCTCTCCATGAAGTTCCATCAAAACCAAAAGCGTTTTAGGAAAAAAAAAAACCTCTGTTCAGTTTACAGCTGTATTGTAAAATCATTACCAAGTGGATGAATTAAAGCTAAAGAGAGGACAACAAGATAATGGATGCGCTCTTTGTCTCCACTAACCTTGTCTCTGTTGAGTTCTGCAGGGCTTAGAGGAGGACTCTGAAGTAGCACGTTTTCTGAAGCAGCTGATGTCAGCACAAATGTGTAAAAGCGCTGCTGGGAAAAACTGAGCCAGCTTAGCTTGTTTGGCAATGTGTGTGTGAGGGGGGGGTTAGCGAAAGAAAAGACTTTTACACGAAGCTCCGGGCAACATGGCTTTAAATGGATAGCGTGTGTGTTTTTTAAGCAGAGTTCAGTTCCTATCTGCGATAAATAGCTTTCCACATTTCCAAACCAGCTGCTCCTGGGGTGAAGAAGCTAACGGCTAGCTCGAGTAAAAGAGGCCCCAGGCTATGGCCTGGCTGGAAAACCTGTCTCAATATGCTATCAATATCTATCAGTCAATAGATATTTTTTGTTTGTTTAAAATATGTCTAAAAAACTGCCAAATTAATGACATAGTCCGTTCACTCCACACCGATTTATTTATTTATTTATTTATAAGCAGGCGAACCAGGTGGCAAAACATAAAGCTGCTGCGGCGCACATTGACAAGGTTGTTGCTAGGTAACCAAAGCCAACAACAACAAGCAGCAGACCACAACAACAACAACAACAACCTTATTGTTGTTGTTGTTGGCTTTGGTGATCCAACTTGCTTAGTTTCTCCGGACATTTTCAATCACGTTTATCACATTGTTCATGATTTATAGCCCAATCCTACCAAAGGCGTAAAAAACGTCATCGCTGTTTCTGACTTGGGCCATTTACCGTTATTTACGTTATTTCCCCCTTCTTGAATATAAAAATTAAATGTATTTATTCATTTTAATCGCCTGTAATACTACCATTCAGTGCCTGCGACCAACTGATTTGGATTTAGAGTCTAAAAAGATGAACTTAACAACTTTTGCTGCCAGCGCTCTTGCTCCTTCAAAACAGAATCGTCTGAATAAGCTCGCAAACACCACGTCATGTGCTGGCCCAAGGGAACACCCAGCCTCCCTGGCAGGTGGTGGTGGTGTTGTGGCTTGATAAAAACGGGCCCGGGTCCCCCTCCCCCCGACTGATGTGCTGCTCCTGACAGCCTTGATAACAAACACGTATAACTGCACCCTGTCACCTCTCAGTTCTCACAGCAACATCCCAGGAGGAGCAGCGAGCAGGCACTGCTGCTGCCTTGCACCGAGGGTTTCAGCACTTTTAAATCACTGTCGCAAAGCAGTTAAAACATCCTGCTCTGCTGTTTAAAGTGTCCTTTACAACCGCTGGTTGACAGAGTGGAGTGGAAGCACCCCTCCCCCACCTGTTGCTGCACACCGACAGCATGCTGCGTGACAAATTCGGCTGTTATGAAATACTTGCCACCAGTACAGACACCAGCAGGTAGCATAGAAGCTCAGTTATTATAAACTTTATTAAAATTCCAGAAGATAAGCTTGCCGTAATGTGTAAAGCAGCAGACGACAAGCTGGCTCAGCCTGACTAATCAACCAGCAAATTACTTATGTTTCTGTTGCTCTGAGAAAGGTGTGTATTTTTCTGTAAATATTGCAGAGCCGCACTATTTTTACTTATTTACGTAGTCTATGTGACATTTATTTCCTTAATCATGAAAAAAAAACAAAAAAACATAGAGGGCATCTTGAGTAGAAATTTTTATTCTTTATGGCTTGTTTGAAAGGATTGTAAGGAACAATCTTACTGGAAAATAAAAAAAAAGAATTTCCGCTGAACCCATCCAAAGATCCACTGGTAATATGATGAAAAGAACGACGACACTTTGTGGATCTGCAGCAAACGACTGCAAGTTAAATGACATCAGTGTCACAACTACAATAACAACTTTAAAAAAAAAGGAAAAAAAGTTTTTGTTTTTTTTAACTTAGTACCTCTTATAAATACCTACCTATAAATATTGAAAAATGCACGTGATGACATCTGAATGTGCTGTACATGGAGCAACAGTCCTACCATCTCAGTACAGAAACAAATAAAAACACTGGTGTTTTTGCTCAGTGTCAGCGACCTCATCGATACACACAGCTCCTCGCCCCTCTACCCCCGATACTGTTTATGATTATCTACATCAAATCGAAGTTAGCTCGGTTACAAAAGGGGCTCTTTGTCCTTAAAACTTGGTTTAGAGTGGAGAGGCACAGGGAAAAATAATCTGGAGATTCTCTTTGTTTTACATTTATTTATTAAGGCCTCTTGAAATCAAATATTGGGGAGTTAAAAAAAAAAAAAAAAAAAAAAAAGCTGTGCGGTCGCTTTTCTGAGTTGAAATCTCTCCTGGTTTTCCTGCGGCATTCTGTTGGTGAGGCAGAGCTCTGCCGAGTTTCTCCATCGCCACCATAGAAAAGAAATGAATAAATGAACGCTCCTCAGCATCTTCAGAATGTCTGCTGTGTCCAGCCAAAATGCTGTGGACTTTGAGGAAAAATAAAAAATGCAACATCTAGCAAGGACATGCGTGACCTCTGCTGATTGAACTACAAAACGACGGCAACATAGATAATAATGGCAAAACAATAGTGACAAAGACATTAATAATACAATAATAAAGAACAATAAAATAATATTAATAATAATAATAATAATAATGATAATAAAAAATGAAGTGTCATTTTCTGGAAGCCCTTGGAAGCAACCACATACTGTATGCTGGTTCGGCTTCCCCTCCTGAACTCCCAGCAGTCCTCCCTCCCCTTGTACCAGTGAGCAAGCAGCCCATCTTAGTCGTATAGTGCAATAATCCCGACATTGTTTTTCCTGAAACATGCTGCTGACGACAGCGGTGGTACCCTATGGGGGTCTGCTCTTCTGTCCTCTTCCACTTCCTGTCACCTCGCCATCCCCCGTCGCCTCCGACTTCACTGCATCCTCTCTGGCTGGATGTGCTGCTGCGGGGCGTAGTGCAGGAAGGTCGGGGCCTGGGCGGTGGCGGAGGGCAAGGTGGGGTGCACGGTGGCTGTCGCCGTGGTGGCGGCGACGGACGGGCCGGCGGACGCCGTGGGGCTGGTGGTGTAGCCGTAGCCCAGGAAGCCGGCTGGGGAAGCGGCGTAGGGGTACTGCTGGTCGAAGGCGGCGTGGGCGTACTGGGCGTAGGCCGAGCTGTAGTCCAGGTAGGGGCTGGTGCCGACCGAGGCAGCCGACACCTGAGTGGGCAGCAGCAGGCTGGGCTGCACGAACGCTTGGGGGTAGATGTACGGCTGGGCCAACCTGCACAGAGACACGCAGAGAGGAGGGTCAGAGGGGCAGAAACCCCCAACTCAGGCTGGTTTCTACTGGTTACGTCGCTCTCGGAGGAGGAGGCGTGTCAGGAATATACAGCCTCTGAACACCCAGCCTCAGTTACCATCACTAACTTATGGTAGTCATGTGAGGAGCAGGTAGGGCTGGGCGGATTAAAAATAAACATTTTTAAGAACAGATATGAATTTAATTGATTATTTTTACCCTCTCATTAATAAATAAACAGGAAATATTTTTCCAACTGAGAACTAGGCCCAGGCTGTGAGAATTTTTGTTCCACTATGAGAATATTAGCAGGGGAAAAGGAAAAAATAGAATTTCACAAAAAACATTGTTAAATTGTGCAAAAAAGATTGTTTGAATGAGAAAAGAAAAAGCGTACTTATTTTTAGGACTTTATTCTGATAATTAAAAAAATAAAAACTTTTTAGCCCAGTTCTGATACTTTGTTGTAGAGTGGACCTGAATTCAAAGTGCAAACAAACAGAACAATCACAACTGTCACCCTGCGCATGGTGACATCACTCTGAACGATGGAAACACAAAGAGTGGATTGGTGAGGAAAAAAAAAAAAAAAGGATAATTTCCCAAAACTTAAATCTTCAAAAACCGAATATTTGATCCATCGATTTAAAAAAATGAAATACAAATTTATTGCCCAGCCCTTGAAACAAACAAAGAGGTTAGTATCAAAGGTGACGCAATTCTTTGTGTAAATCAATGAGTAAAAAAAAAAAAAAAAAAAATCAACAACCACCAAACCTGTTGGGTCAGACCTCCCGCGCTGTACGAGAGGGAACAAGTAGAGGGGGGGTGAATGACAGAGGCAGCCGTTACTGGCAGCTTTTCAAGCTCAGGCATCAGCAGTGTTTTAACAGCTGCTGCTCTTCACCCTCTGAACACACTCACACACAGATGGGAGGGGAAAAAAAAAAAAAGAAAAAAAAGGGAAGTGCTTTGAGGGAGGGCAGAAGTTGGAGTCTTTTAGTTCTCAATCAGTTTGTAACTCTGCCTCACACACACAATCTCACAGGTGATGATGGTGGCTGGGGAGACGATCAGGGCCCGGGCTGGGGGTTCTGCCGAGCCTCACGGGCCGGCTCAGATGCAGCTGATGAGGGCTGCTGGCTGGGAGTGGTTGGTGGATGAACAACGTTTATCCACAAAAGAAAGGGAAATAATTTTCAGGTGAGATTAAAATATTTTAAAAAAGTGTTCCCCATCCCTCCTCCTCCATCTCCAACAAAACAGGAAGAGCTGACCAACGCTGCATGTCAAGGAGTTGACGGATCTGACTCTAGAGACAGCTTCAACCCTTCACTTTACAGACTATGAGCAAAAACAAAACAGAGAGCTAGAAAGGCAAAAAAAAAAAAACAAGAAAAAAAAAGACAATATCACACTTCAGTTACATACAAGAAACCAAAGTCAACTCAGTTTCACCATTTTGCCACTGCAAATAGTTCCCATTAGATAAATATTACCTATGAAAGTCACCTACGAAGTCAAAGCATGCATGTACAGCACCTTGTGAAGTTATTCTGCTTGGTTTTTTTTTCCACGACGTCACATTACGACCAGCAGCTTCAATGTTTTATTGGAATTTTAGGTGGTAAACCAACACAAAGTAGTGATAATTATGATAATCAGAGCCAGGAGGCCCATGGTCACTCTGGAGGAGTTTCAGATATTTTAATTTAAATAGTTTAATCCACATATCACAAATGTGTCAAAAATAATGTGTCAACTAGGGCTGGGTGGTAAATATAGGAAATGCAGTTCAGAGTGATGTCATCACATCCAATGCCTAACAGCTTGTTTGTCAAGCATGTTTTTCAGCTATTTATTTGGATTTAAAATTCAGGTCAATGGGGACGATTGAAAATGAAAAATAATCTAAAATGTTCTGTCATTCATAATTTCTTTTTAGGAAAAGAAGTCAAGACATGAAATTGGATTTGATATGAAATTAATCGGATTTCATTTTTACACCACATTGACCAGCCCTGGTATCAACCATGTATTATTTTCTCACCACTTCAGGATACGTTTGGTCCATCACATAAAACCCACTGTAGGCTGTGGCAGTAATGCAACAAGATGTGGAAAATGCCAAAGAGTATGAAACTTCCCAGGCACTGGATAAGGATGTACTCACTTTACATACTTCCTGCGCACACAAACGCGCCGTTGCCTCTGCTCACACACCAGTTACCACTGCAAACCCCCAAACCATGCCATAATAGGGAAAGAGTCACACCGCAATCAGCACAAGCTCTTCAGTTCATATCACACAAACAGGAGAGGGAAAAAAAAAAAGATAAGACACTCCAGTCCATCACAGCACACTGCACTGCACTCTCAAGCCGTCACTGGCACCTTGTAGAGAGGCTGGCTGAGGGGAGGCAGGACAGTGTGGGCGGATATTTTCCCCAACTGAGGGCATCATCTGATCCTGAACTTGGTCAGCTGGCAGCAGAGGGCAAACCGTGGCATAAAAATGAAATTAAAGTGATTAATTTACAAAGAAAAAAGAAAAAAAAATGGGATCAACGTGAATCCTCGTGTAACTGAAAGGAGAGTTGGACCTTAAATGCCCATGTTAAAATCTAGAACAAACAAGGGTGAGTTAAACAGTGCATGAACATTTTAATTGTGTACTAAACAAAAGTAAATGAGAAGTGAAGGGAACATACAGGCTATGGACAATAGGGGCTTCAGAGGAAGTAAAAATCCCACCACTGTTGAGCTTCATCTGCACTTCAGCCTTGGGAGACGACTGTACGTCAATGGCTGCGGGGCATGAAAGCCCTCGCGCCAACTCTAAATGACCTCAACCTTGCGTAAGACAGGATGATGGTGGACCGCTGCTCTGGTGCCGGAATAAAAGACGAGAAGAAAAAGCAGGGATGGGGATCACAGCGAGTCCAGAGGGCAGCGGAGATGCCAAGCACGCTGCGTAAAGAAAAAAAATAATAATAAAAACGATGGAAGAGAGGCCATAGATGACAGCCGGAATATCGTTGGTCAGCTGGATTTCTGCTGACGGCCGGTCGTAGCGGGTCGTTGAGTGGCAGGCCGGGACACCGGAGAGACGGGCTCGCCAGAAAACGCTGGCTGGCAAAGAGCGAGACAGTCTAAAGGCTGGAGCCTTCGTCAATGAGGGGAGAGACATAATGAGCTGCTGGCGAAAAAAAGAAAACGCCTGGGAGACGTCGCACCAAGCAGCTAAATATCTCACGGATGAGCTCCAGCGCATGACTCGATGCGACGTGAAGTGTGAAACCAGGCAAGACTGAACTGGGTTGGTGTGGATGAGGTAAAGCCCACCTCTTAAAACTGCAACGGTTCTTTGAATGGGGAGCGGCGGTGAGGGGGGGACAAAGGTGTTTTATTTGACACCTGTAGAGGCGAGTTACCATGGAAGCGCCTCATTAAACATTGAGTCGGAGGATCTCCCTCCCCCCCTTTTGATTCTACTTCTCAATCCCCCTCCAAGTGTCACAGAGGTGTCGGTTTTCAGAGACTCCATCGGATTCAGAAATGGAGGGAGGACTCCACTGGAAGAAGAAAAACAAAGAAAAAGGAAAGTGGCTAGAATCCAACAGGATGAAGGGAAGGAGTCGATTTGTGACGAGAGATGAGTCGTCTACAAAGGCCGACTCGTCCCCTCCCCGTAAATACACAGGCCGCAGCTCTGGTGACCCCCGTTGGCCCTCCCCGCCCTTACAGTCCACACCTTATCCACAGTAGTCTCCACATGCGGCATCAGCATGTGGAGACTACAGCTCAAAATCCTGCTCAACACCCCGTCTTCCTCCCGCCATATGTCCACAAGCATCGTGGAGTCGGGGGAGGGGGAGGTAAGAAAGAAATGCCCCCCCGTGTGCAATCTGCATCTTAGCAACGTCCATGTCCAACACTCGAGCCGTGTGGAGGAACCTCGGGAGGACAGGTGTTGGGCGAGCCTCAGGGGCGGTGAGCACAGGAGATTACAGAGGGTGGAGTTACTGAGGGTGGAGGGGAGCAGCACCTGTTGGGCACACGCCTCAGACGGCAGTCGAGCCAAACACTGCAAACATTCGGAGTTTGTCCAACCCTCTCTGGACCAGCGGGACGTCGACATGGACGGGACTTTCCTTTGTCCTCCCCCCTGAGGTTTTGGAACATGATGTGACATGTTCCTAGTGGGACTCCAGCTAATTTAAGCAAATACAAAAATCCTGCCAAGTTTGTTTTTTTTCCTTTTTTCTAATTTTACTTATTTGTGGAATTCTTTGAGCATCTCATCCTTTCAAAGCTCTTCATCAGACATTACTACAATCACCTCGAAACAATTCAAAAAGTTTAATTTCACTGTATTCAGAAGAGGGGAGTTTAAAAAGGATACAGGCTGGTTTCACACAATGTCACATATAAAAGAGTTTATTTTAGCTAACTTTGCTAATCACAGGCTGCAGTGACAAACAGAATTAAAGTTTCTAAAAAATTCTGGTTTTTGCACTCTACAATAAATAAAACTAATAACTTCTTAAGAGGAAGAGTTACTATCTCACACCTTCCACAGGAATGGTAACCCGCAAAAATGTTTTCGTTAAAGAGGCCTTTTGAAGGTGCTATACGCATCCTTATCCAGCCATGTTGGTGGGAAACAGAGGGGAAGGAGCAAAAGGGACAATCAGAACCTGTCAGCAGTTCTGTGGACATTCCTCGTATTAAGTCACGGACTGTGACTCACTGGTCCAAAGTCGGTTTTTCAGAGTCGATTTTACACGTCATTTGGAAACCAACACCTCAGAGTTGGTTCTTCTAACAGGTTGTTTTTACCAAATTGCTAAATTTTAAATTCATTTACTCTACAACCAGAAAAATAGAAACAACAACAAAAAAGGAAACTCTGAATCTTAGAAGATTTTTAGTCATTTAAACTTGACACTGATAAGTAATTAAGCTTTTACTGATTCACTTCTTTCGTTTGCAGATTAAGCGACTTGGAATTTCACGCGACCACAACGACGAATGCCAAACAACTCACTCAGATTAACTTCCTGAACTCCTGTTCTTCTAACAGAAAAGGAGGGTGTGCATGTAAAACCCAAACAGGCCTCAGGCTGCAGCTTGTAGCGTGATATCTGAGAGCTGCAGGGGGAGTCAGAAGAGTCATAACAGTGAAATGGTCGTTAGTTGCTCGGCCGACCGTGGCTTGCAGACTCTGTGGATCCCTCCCATTCTCCACGACGGCCACAGAACTCCCCCGTCGGTGACGGAGCTCGCTCGGGTCGGACCACGAGTCAGGAGGCCCCTGACGGAGGTCAACGAGTGAGTCACACATTCACCTCTGGAACGCACGTCCATTACCACGCAGACGCGAATCATCTCTACGGCCTCCTCGCCCCAAACGGGACTCGGTGTATGCTAATGGAGGGGCGGCTGGAGTTGCGTGTAGACACTGGAACTGGCGTGTGCTTTCCAGAGGCTGCGTTTTGTCAAAGAAATAGCAGCCTGGTGGCATAATAGCAGAGAGCATAACAAGCGCCCACTCCCTGCTCACTTACCCATACTGCCTCTGGATGAGTGCCGGGTGGATGGGCTGCACTCCGATGGATATGCCTGGAAGAGAGAGGGAGAAGAGAGGAGGATGGTTGTCAGACACACATCTGCATTTACAGAGGAGGAGCAGAGAACAATGCACAGAGGGCACGGAGACACAGAGACACGGCCTGTTTCCAGCCTACCATGGAAGAAATATTTCAAATGTTCCAGAAAGCAAGCAAAGAAAACATATACGCTGTTTCAGAGCTGCATGGTATTTGTCGCATAAATCCGAAGTATGCGAGCTCCGAGATGGAGCTGCAGGCTGTGGTCATGTGACTAATTAAAAACAGCAACAGTTTGTCTCTTAGCCTGTAAAACAGCCAGTGTTTTTACAATCAGGTCTCCAGCAGCCCCGTCAGATGCTTTCTCTCCACTATACCTGCTGCTCGGGGCGATGAGCATTTATCACAATGTCCATCATTTATCGGCAGAAATTTCAGACAAGATTTTTGATTTACAATAGTCACAACAAATTCTGTCCGTTTTGTTTTTCTCCAATGTTTGTTCAATGATGGAGTATCAATAAATATGATTAAATGCAGTTATTGTGTGCGTTTTAGAGACGCCAATCACACTTTTGGACGTGATCGTGTCCTATAGAAATGGTGTGTTTTTCCATGAGCGGTGTTTGTGTGGCTATCTATGCTGTGTTGTCACAGCCTTACAGTTACCTAAAATAGTAGCAACAAATAGTTCTTATTGTTACTTTGATCATAATCACAATGCTGACACAAAATGTGATAAAACTTTATGTTCCCCATTATGTCGCCCACCCTCACCTGCTGCACTGATGGGATAAAACAGGAGTTTTCAGGTTTCATCAACACATATCTTTTTAAAAGTGAAACTTAAGACCTGCATCAGGACTGAAATGTACAAAGGAATTTGTTTTGCGCAGAGTGCATATGCATCATCGTTTGGGCTGACGACAGAAGTGAATAAGTGGCGACGATGAAGGCCAATAAATTTACACTTACTTATGATGGATGCAATAAAGCCAACTCTCTAGCGAGAGTATGTCAAAAGCTAATTAGCGATAGAATAAAGATGTCTGGGTTTGAAAATATAATATTAAATAGTCCTGCCAGGACAAAATTTAAAACTTGTGCTTAACATATTTAATGCCAGCTACCTTTTTAAAATAAATTTAAGGCATTTCAAGGCCTTTTTTTGAGATATCTAACTTTAAGACTTTTTAACGATGCATGGACACTGTGTAAAATGTCACATTGTAATAAATCATTAAAATTATTTTAAAAATTTAGTATTTCATTAAAAAGTACATAAAATGTTACAGTCCTTCATTTGATCTTATTGTGGCAAACTCAAATACTGGTGTTCCAGCATTTATTGACTTAGTTCATTGTACTGTGCTGCAGAACAGTGTCATTTATTCTATCCATCAGTCTCAGTGTGTAGAGCCAACACTGCTAAACATGCAGATTAGCGCACAGATTAGCCAATCAAATGCTGGGATCTATTTAACAAACCGTAGTGACTGTTTAGATTCATGCTCTGTAGCACAGGAAATATTTCATAAATAAATACCAGCATAATTACACATCATCTCTACCGAATGAATTTACATTTTTATGACGACACATTTGATCATTTTATTATGAATTAAAACAAATGCATTTTATATGCACAGTTATCTGTTCTACTTACCATAGTCATTATACATTGACTTAACCTATGTAAAAAATGTAAAAACTTGCTGAATTGTGGAGCTGGTCGACCTCAACACTCATCGCAGTCTGCAAAGATGTGCCCCTTACTTTCTAGCTAGCCTGAGCTCTGCGCAGCCCCTCTCTATCTCACCTGTCTGCAGGCTGCGGGGCTTGGCGCCCAGGTACGCCAGGTTGACGTTGGCCTTTCTGCCGTCGATGATGGGGTTGGGATCCTTGCAGGCTCTCTCCGCGGCTCCTCGGTCGGTCATCGTCACCTGGCAACCACAGACGCAGCTGCTAATGAATCACAGTTTAGACTCGTAGAAAAAAAAAGACAATCAAAAACAAAACAGGATTTCAACTGGCCCACTTTGCGAAAGACCAGTTAAAAAGAAAGAAGAAATAAAAACAAAAGCTGATATTTACTGGTTTAGAAATCGGGCCAACTGCCAAGGGTACCAGCTGCCTTTAGTTTGACAACCGGTTTAGAAAATTGTAAAGTGGCACTTCTTGAGTTTCTATTAAAACTGGTTATTTATGGCTGGATATGTGTCAAAAAAAAAAAGACACAATTTGTCAAAAATACAGCAGTTTCTTCCAGCCAGCTGACAACTTGCGTGCTTTTTCTGCCATCTCAGATTGAGTTTAAATCATAAGAAGGATGTGGTTCAGATTTTAGTAGTTGTGAAATGGCAACTTATTAGAAACCCCAGTGTACCCTGAAACTTCTCACTTCATTTGGGCCTGTCCTTATGAAACCCTCCCCCCCCCGGAAAACTACCTCTCAGGCAAATATATAAGTAAAAAATGCCCACAGCAGCAGTAGCCAGCCTATGACTACCACTGAGACATGGGCAAAGCTGCTGAAATATGGATCTGGCCAACAAGGAGCTTATCCAATTAGGAACAAAATAAGGAGATTGGCATTAGTCCACCCCCCCGGCTCCCTCCTGGCATTATATGAGCCCTTCTGGTTTGATTGCCACATCCTGCCAGTTGTCGGTCTCCTCACATGACCTGACCCGATCCGAGAACATGGAGCTGAATAGTTTCAGAGGACACTCTGCATCTTTTACGGGGAGGCTTTTTGGGAACAAAGCCCACTGTGGCGCCTGTGTTGTGAACACACAGGAAGGAAACAGGCTGTGTTTACAGTGAAGCGCCTTGCTGTGGGGTTAGGGTGGTGCTGGAAGGTGGGGGTCCGCTAATCCACCTCTGAAGTGTGTTTAAGACAAAAAAGAAGTGCACTCAGCTTCAGGCTCGTTCTTGTTTCAAGCCAGACAGAAAAAAAACAAAAAGCGACCCAGGAATAAAAACCGGTGAGGTTAAAATCCCAGGAAGCAATCCACATGGTTTGACGAAGAGCCCGTCTAACCTGAAACGCCGGCCCACCGACAGAAAGCCGGTCGGCACCTGCTCAACTCACCAGACGGCTTCCCCCTCCGACTTTCATCAGCTTACATGTAAACAAGGAACAATTGTCTTCCAATTCCCCTTTAGAGGTACATGGAACCGTTTTCCACTCCTTGTTTGGCCCGATCAGACAGCCGAGCTGAAGCGTCTCTGCTAAGTTTTGGTAAATATTTGCATTTTTTTTTCTCCTGAACTACTGCTTCTGTTCTTTATGGTTTTATCTCCAAGGGACAGAATAAATCACTTATTAACCCAGATAAAAACCCGGTATTGGAAAGAATCTTGGAACATAGAGTTTTTTTTGTTTGCAAAGAAGTTGTTAAAGTTATGTAATTATAAACAAGAGTCATTTTCCCACAGAACTCCAAGAACTGGGATAACAAGGAGCGGTTAAAAATGCTAGGATGAGTTCATTGGTCCATAGAGATTAGATCAAAGAAAATACAATCGGTTTCTAAAACTGGAACATGAAAAGTTGACATGAAAGCTGGGTAATGAAGTACGGATTTCCACAGCAGGATTTCTCTAAGAAAAAGAAAGAAAAGGAAAAAAAAAACAAAAATGGTTCCCGTTTGTCAGCATTTGGTTGGATGGCATCACAAAGATCACACTCACACGTCAGCCTGATCAGGCTGATGTGTCTGTTTGCATTAGTAACTGTTTGGGCAACACCTTTTATTAGATGGAGTCCAACCTCAGGTGTTTGATTTTGATTCCTGCTTTGAGAATCAGGATCTAACGTCATTTTCAACTGTCTCCTCATGCTGTAAGTAAACATGATTAAACGAGTCCAGCGACATCGAGCAGTAAGAACTCACTTTGCTCCTATTGCCATTTTGGTTTGACTGTGATGCACAACCTGTCAACTAGCCCAAAAAGGGGACCATAACCAAAAATATAAGGACCGCAGAGCCACGTCTATTTGGTATTCGTGCATGCGCTTATTTTTCTACTAAAAAACACACAAAAAAGTCAAAAGATGCATGTTAGGTAGCTGAAACACATAGCCGAAGTGATACTTTGCAAATCAGCTAATCCAGGCACCCAATTTATTTTTATTGCTGCTGATTGGCTGAAGCGTTTAAAATGTGCGCATTAATGCATATTGAGGTTTATTTGGTGTTCAAACTATTAAAAAAGGCAGCTACAAGGTTTTGTAGGGTGAGTTCGAAGTATTTTGCAGATATTAAATATTTTGACCCCCACGATTACTGGAGGTTTGCTGCGTTTCCAATTGTCAGGAGCATTGGTCAAGCCGGAAAATGCTTCCAAATTTACAATGGAAGCATACAACAGATTTGACTTTTCAATGGACTGCTCATAATTCATCAACACACCCAACTATAGAGTCAAACAAACTGGTACCGCATGTTATAGAGGGTACATATTGGAGGTAAATATGGACAAAACAGCAACATAGTGGAACAAAATGAAGGTACAAATTAGAGGGGGCGGGGGGTTGAAGTGTGATAATATTGTTGAATAATATGTACGACAAATGATTATAATGAACCTGCATTTCCAGTTCCTCAAAACTTGGTCACTGAGATTTTGATGATTTGACCAGCAATAGTTTATCGAAACTGATGCAGTCAGAATGAGGAGCACTTGCAAATATTCCAGTGTTGATCAGCTACTGATATCAATCCAATTAAATCCGTTTAGACCGAACATGACAGGTTGTTCGACAGGAGAAAAACTACATCTGAAGAGATTTTCCTGAAAACTCTGGCATGCATCTTAATGTCCCTTTTCCAGCAGCCTGAAATGTGACGTAAAGCATGTCTTCTGATTCCTGACAATGGAAAGCAAGAGTGTGCAAGGTCAACCTCCCCATTGCTCTGAAATAACCATATAAAGCAAGCAAAGAGTCCAGCCTCTCTCTCTCTCTCCGTCTCTCTCTCTCTCTCACACTTCCACAGCAATAAGCTGGGGCTGCTCAGGGTTGAGGGGAGGGGAGGTGTGTGTGCGTGGGTGTGTGTGTGTGTGTGTGTGGGGGGGGGTTATAAATGAGGAGTGGACATTAGACATATGCTGAAATATAATCTTCTTAGTTACCCATCAACTTTTGTGATCCCTCATCCTCATTAATCGAAAAGAACAGCCAACCAGGCGAGACAAAAACAAAGATGCGGTGCAATTATGTATTTAACCCTGCGACGTCTGAATGAGTGACTTCAGACTTTAAACGTGTTCAACAGCTAATGGCCCACAAAACAACTTTTGACAAACTGACGGGAGCCAGGACGCTAAGTTAAAGAGGCAGGTTCGGTAGAGATAAGCAGAAATGAGTGTGTGTTTGGTTCATACTTACAAAGCCGTAGCCCCTGGATTTACCGGTCTGTCTGTCAGTTATCACAACGGCCTCGTCGATGTCCCCGAAAGCCTCGAAGTACTTTCGGAGCGAGGCGTCGGTCGTGTGGTACGGCAGCCCGCCGACGAAGATTTTGGTGAACGTGGTGTCTTTCTGGACCGGCGTGGGAGGCATGACTTCCAGGGATCCGTTCACGTACTGATGCAGGAGCATTGGTGAAGCCGGAGAGACGGGCCGAGGCACACAGAGTACCGCTACACTACGCGCTCAACAGTTTCCCCCCGCCCGACATCCAAAGACCACGCTCTAACCTCTAGCGGAGCGACGCCGTTTTGTTTTCGCTCTCTGTAGGCTCTGGGGAAATTTAAACCAAAAAAAAGGGGAAAAAAAGTTGCGGCAACCTGTAGGAATCCGCGCTTCACGCCGCTCGTACTGCCTTCCACAACCAGCACACCTAGCCGGTTTGTAGTCCTGACAAGAAAACCGTGCTAGGAGCATTTATACCCAACGATAAGACTCCGCCCCCACCGCAACTGTTTGGCCAATGAGCGTGGACTCCTCGTGCACAACTGTTGAAGCGGGTCCTCCCATTGGCTCGTCGTTTCACGGTGCCAGTTGCACCTGCTTTTGTCTTTTTAAGCACAAAGAAAAACCTGTACTGTACGCACTGGACTGCTCTAAAGCAGGAGGGGAAATACCGCCCACCTGTCGCCCAAATCCTTTCCCTACATGTAATAACTTTGTAGCGCAAATTTGTCTTTCGCAGATTATGACATGGTAGACAGACATTATTAACATGTTTACAATCGAAGCCAATAGCCATCAAACTTATTTTAGACGTACTTTACCACTCCAGAGATTTTCTTTTTGCTCTTTTGTGATACTATTTAATCAGGATGAACACTAGCCTCTCGAAAACAAACTTTACAAACTTTCATAACTCGGGTGAGAGAAAGAAACTAACAAAGAGTTCTTTTGAGTGCCACCATTTGCATTTGCTGTGTTCAGATTGTCTCAGTTGTGGGAGTCTGGATCTGGGACAGATGTAATGGTCCATTCTACTTGCAAGTCAGAATCACAGCAAAAATGTTTTCCCTCGTTGTTGTGACAAGCTTGTAACATTTGTATCTTCACTTTCTATGTTCAAATACTAAATGAGCATGTTCAGAGATAGAATTTATACTCGTGCCGCTTTAATGACATTAAAATATACTGAAAACAACTAAAAACATGCATGAACTTATTTCCAGAGGCGCTGATATTCTGATGACACAGCGTTCCAAAATAAGACCTAAAGATAAAAAAGTTCAAGCTTGTTCTAAATCTAGAACAAGCAGACATTTGGACATTTGTTAAAGAGCTACATTTTCTCACTATGGGTCAATAAAGGAATGTTCTAGTGCTGCTTTAAAGGAAATCATTTTAGTGATTTTCTTTAAAACCACAAAATAAATAAAAATAATCAAATTGCTCTGGAAATCTTTGAAATTATAGTCATGTAACCAGTGTGAGAACTGCTGCACAGCTGCCATGAACAGGCATTTCTGCCCCAGATCATTTAATTACATTCCAAAATTAATGTGCATTTCTTCTCATCACCTCAGAGGTAAATCAAAATGTTTCCTACTGGATGAAAGTTTGAGACATGGGCTGGTGAAAGCGTGAACTAAAGTAACGAGATTGGCGATTACTCTGGATATTTGGAGTCATTTTTTTCTTCCACATCTTTTATCTTTTGGTTTCCATTTCAAAGTATTCAAGATCATATCATCTTATGCAATTTTTTTTTACATTTTCCCCCTCTCCCATAAACCTTTCAATGAAAGTATGCTGTCCTTAAGTGTCCAAGGTCAACCCATCTTACTCAAACCACACTACAACTATTTGCTTTATTTTCATGGGGTCACAATGAATTACATTAGTGTTTGAGCAAAGCATGGATGATTAATTTATACAGTCAGCATCATAACTCTACTATACCTCAGTAAATTGCTGGGGTATGTCTCCCATAAACAGACATATCTGTTATAATCCTATTGGACTGCTATTGTCTTGAACGCAAATTGCTCTTTGCAACTTTAGTAGTGCAGCACATCACAATAAACATACCGTATAGCTTAAACTCCAAGGAATCTGAAAAGTAATACTTCTTATAACTCAGGTTAGTTGGCGCTCTATCCATTTGATGGTTTTCTGCATGTGTAAAAGTCGTTACATTTCCAGCTCCAGAGACACGTTAAGCCTGCAGAACAAGCCGGTTTTAAGGGATCTTAACGTAGCGGAACCTGATAAAGGTTGTTCTCCGAAAGCGTAGCGGGGACGTTGCACCGCCGTGGCTTTAAACCTTCCCTCCACCGTTCCCTTGGAGGTCTACTGCTAACTATCTAGGGTCAGTCTGACAAAGAGGTGACGCTCTAACGACCTCTATAAAAAGACACTTAACTCACACCTCGACCTCTATGATCTGGTCCACTCTTCACACAAGGCCTTTGTAGTAGCCCCAACTACCTCATTCATATCCTCCTGAAATCCTCGACCCATTCAGGGGAACTGGATGGGAGAGTCACATCACACACCTTTGATCCCATTTGTCCTGCAGAGTTAAAACTGTTGGGGAAAATACTCCACCTGCTGGTTAACTGTGAGTAATACAGGCAGATGGGGGGGAACAGTTAAAGCATTTAGCATCCAAAACGTAAGGCAAGATCTTTGTCAAGTCTGTAAATATTACCTTTGCTCTGTAGCCTCCGAACACAGAACTTTACTGAGATCCTTTTGGTCTTGTCGAAACGCATACACAACGTTGGAATCTACCAGGGCGCACTTATTTATTGTACATCCCAATATCTTTAATGAAACAGTAACAGCAAAATTACAAGGAAATGAAAAACTTTATGGAAGTTGTGGGGGGGGAAAAAACAAAACAACAAATGTGGACACATCAAAATAGTCATTAAAAAAATATCAAGACGAATATCAAATTAAAGCCCTCTTCCCCTTTCTACGAAAAACTTAAAAAGGCCAACTATCATGCAACATCGAGTTGGGTTGGCCCCTCTGATTGGTGCATGCAAGGCACCAGAGAGCCACGGCATTGGTCCAGACGTCTGTCGAAAGGAAGGAGCATGTCTCGAACGCATACACGCACACTAAAGCAGCAGGTCTTCCGCAATTCTCCACAAGAGGTGCGACTTGGCGCGGCGAATCTGGAGACAGGAAGTAGCAGTCAGTGACAGAGCAGCAAGGTTGTTTTATCGCTCGTTTATTTCTGGACAAAAGGATGAATGGCTATTCTCCAGGCAAAGTGCTTACAAAATATGCTTGGTTTCTGTATTTAGGATATTTTTTCCCTTTTTAAACCTCAATATTCCAATAAATAACATCTTTAAGTACCTCTCCTTAACATTAAATACTTCATGTTTACAGGCTAGATTCTTTAGCTAAGACAGAAGGCTCCATCCGTTACATACAACCCTGTTTGAGTACAAGAGTAGTTTGTCCACACACACAATGTCGTTTACACATTTGTAAACGACATTACATATTTAAAGTGCAAAGTGCTTTTACCAAACCGGGTGGCTACAGAGCGAGGCTGAATAATAATAAAAAAAAAACATGTCGGTATCCTTACTGCCCATATTCATGCATTCCCCTTGAGAGCCCACAGTCAGAGCCACAGGAGCAATCAGGAAATGGGGCAGCCCCATTCATTGACCACGGTCTCCACGGTAACAGACGGCGGCTGCCCTTCTCTCACCATTTCTTGTTCCGAGGCTTCAGCTCCTCAGCGGCGTTCCTCAGAAAGATGTAGTTCTTTTTCTGGGGGTTGTAGTACTCGTGGCCCTAGAAGATCAGGACTGAGAACTGGCAGGATGTGGCAAGTAAAACGACAGAGAGAGGTGAAGAACCGACTGTGCGCCTCCTACCTTTGACCAGTCGTAGCTCGAGGCGTACGCGAAGATGTTGCCGTTGTGGTTGAAGCAGCAAGCTGTGATTGGCTGGTCGAGCTGCTCGGAGGTCTTCAGCTTGGTGCGCGCGTCTTTGTCCCAGAAGCTGAAGCGTCCGTCGGAGCCCACGGTGGCCAGCGTGCCGTGGACAGGATGGAAGGAGATGGCGTTAACCTGGTCAGGAGAAACGGAAGTGCAGTAAGGCCTAACGATTAACGATTGTTTTAGTGATCGATTGGAATAATCGATTTTTCCAACGATTAAAATTGGCACTTAACACAGCTTTCTCATTTAACCACTCAAGCCTCTTGTAAACAATATTAGAAATATATTGAAAGATACAAATAAAACAATTCAATTACTCAATATAAGCATTCTTTTAGGGAATTTGAACTGGGTGAAGCTAAAACTGAGTTATTTGAAAAGTTTGGAAAAAACGTGTCTACAGACAACAGGTTCTCTTTTTGTTAAATGCGAACTATATATAGATATTAGGTTTTGGCTTAATTACTGCTCAGAATATGTTTTTTCAGCAAACTCATGTTAATTACCAAATTAGTCAACAATTAATTCAATAACTGATTCAAGATTAATCCAGTTATTCGTTTCGTTCATCTAGCTAGTTGATAACAGTCTTCCATTAAGATTTAATGTGACAGACCAACAGTTCCATAAGGACTTTGACTGGGACACTATAACACAAAATTACATGTTAATCTAAATGCATTATGTCTGGGTGTGTAGGGTTGATGCTCTGTTGGGACTTGAACCCTCAACCCAACGCTCAAGTGTCTTTGAAGTTAAACATGTTTCAGGATACTCCTCTGATTTGCATCTACCGTCACTGTCTCTGCTGAATACAAGCAACGGCATGATGCTGCCACCACCGTGTTTCACCATAGAAGGGATGTGCTCCTGGTGATGTGCAGTGCTAGTTGCTTTTGCCAAACTTGGATCAAAAACTGGAGAAAATCTGCATTCCATCCCTAACTTTTAATAGTGTTTTGATGCAACAAGATCAACTTACAGCATAGATGTCCTGTGGAGTGGTTGTGTTGGTTCCATTGGACCTGTGGCACTTGAAGGTGAAATTATCTTTGGCTCTAAAGAAGATCAGAAGATGCGGTTGTTCGTTTTTCTTTTTCAGGTGTGGAGCAGGAAGCTTGTCCACGGGTTGTGTGTTTTACAAAAACTCACGGGTTTGGTGGATTGATGTAATGGATCGCCACTCTGCCCTCAATGCTTCCCAGTGCAAAGCCCGTTGGCTTGTTCTGCTTGTCCTTAAATATGGCAACACAACGGTGCTGAAAAGCAAAAACAGACAACACTGAATTTGCATAACAATAGAACATTGCAACATTTTCTTAAACCTCAAAGAGTTAAAGAACAGCTCACCTGATGTTTGAGAGGGGAGTCTATTCTGCGAAACTCAGAAGGCTGGTTCTCTAACTGGTACACTATAAGGCCTCTTTCAGCTGTGGCTACCACTGCCATGGGATACACCTACATCCAACAGGGTGAGTCAGTCCTCTCACTGGGAAGCTTTTAGAAATGACCTCATGCTGTTTATAACAGACTTACAACGTCGGCA